AAACCCCGGAGCCCATCCTGCTCCCTGGGGAGACGCCCTTGCTTGCGAAAGTGGCTGTCGCAGCAAGCGAGGAAGTGCAGATTGAAGGATGATGATCTTACCATTACTTAAATTGCTGACTCTGGTCTTTTTATCTGCACTTGGTTTTTATTGTGTGCTTTAAGAAGCAGCAAGACTCAGTCCCCCAGAGCTGTGAGTCTGTGCAGGACTCAGTGGAGCAGAGAGGGAGAACTGGCTGTTCCTGATGCTGCATAGCCAAGACAGACTTTTCTGGGCACGTCCTTTTCCTCTCTGGGAATAACCAGAACAAACCCAGTGCTCCCTTTTGCTGTGTCTTGTGGTGTGCACAGGCACGCAGAGCTTGAGAAGGAGCATCTCCCTGTCTGATGGGGTGCTGTGCTGATGGGGTGCTGATTGCCGAGGCGCAGTGCCACCAGAGTGCACACCGGGCAGGGCATCGCGTGGCTGGGAAGAGCCCAGCCTGGCACCACAGCTCTTTGGGGGCTCACTGCACCCCAAGGATATACACACAGCTGTGTCCTGCTGAGCTGTGTGAAGCCACATTGCTGTTGGGCCTCTTTCCATGACCATCCGTGAGATCCAGCAGAGCCATCCAGCGCTCTGGGCTCGCTTCCTTCCCTGCTTCCTTCCCCCTGGATAAATTCAGCCATGCACCTGCCTTCAGGAGCGGGGCCTCCTCTTCCTTCCTCCTGAGCAGACAAATGCCCTCTTCACAATAACACATCCCTCCTGCCCCAAACCTGCCCCTCGGACCTTTTCCTCTCTCCCAAGTAACTTCCCTTCCCTCTGCACAGCTGGGACCCCAGGCAGCTCCAGGACCAGGAGCTCTCTGCTCTGTGAGGTTTCCAAAACCCAAAGCCTTGTGTGAGGAGGTAACTCGCTGACCAGGAGATGCTGCTCACCCCTGTGGACTTGCAGGGCTGCAGCTGATGGAACTCCAGCCCTCATGCTGTTTTCCTGGCCCCTCTCCTTTGGCTCCAGACCACTGAGAGTGGGAGGACCCTATCTCGCCTCGAAGTATTTTGGCTTCATCTTGCCTAGATGTAAATCCTGGCTGCGAGTTCCCTCCAGGACCTTTGCTATACAGCCAAGCCCCCTCAGTTTTGGATTTGTGCCCATTTTTTTCTGGGTTTTCAGTTGAAAGTTTCCTTCTGGCTTGGCATTAGCTGTCAGGAGTTACATCTGCTCTGCAGACCTCTGCCTCCCGCTCACGAGGTCCAAGGTTGTTTTGTGGTTTCCTGCATCCCTTGGGGACGAGTGTGGGTGCTGGTGCCTGCTGAGTCCCTGGGGTGGAGGACAGCAGAGTTGCTCAGCCTTCTCCCTGGGACTCAGG